AAGAAATTACCCATTATAAAGCAGAGTTACAGAATAAGTGCAAAGTTAACCTCACATGCTGGACAGTGATCCCACAGAAAGCAGCCTTGCTCAATTGAGAAAAAACCAAGAGTAGCTCTCTATGGAAAGCTGAAACCGGTTTTACTGATAACCTGAACCAGAGAATGTCTCACAGAACAGCAGAATCTCCCTCTGTGAAGACAGAAGGCAAAACAATGCTAGCTCTGTGAACTGTCTCTTCTTCTCGTGCGAATCCATAAACTGCCATGGAGCGACAGAAAGGAGCTCAATGAGAAGACACATGAGGCGGGAGGTCTTTGCTGGGCAGACACTGAACACCTATTTCCTGCATCTTACCCTTTGGAAGATCCAGTCTCCCGGTCCGTGACTATCCTTGCCCGAACAGAGCCGTCAAAGGACTCCTTTAATGTCTCTTCTGTAGTCTCCTCAGACAGACCTTTGACAAACAGAGTCTTGGATGGCTCTGAGGAAAACAAAAACCACACCTTTTATTTTAAATCTCAATTTATAATGATGAGATGCTAGATTTGTATAACATTTAGTATCTGACTACTGGCTAAGAATGCTTGTCTTAGCAGAACCTAGCCTTTCATTTGAAGGGTCTGTATGAAAAGTAATCTTACCCAACTAATGCTTAAAGCAAAGGGGCTTAAAACAACTACCATCTCAAGTTTACCTTGACCACCAAAGCAGTTCAATTCCTGCCTGAGATCTTTTATGGAAAGGAGAACCAACTCAAACAAGTGAGACAGATATAAAGCAGACAGCTACAATGGGCAAATCCTGCCAAGCTGACATGGCTGGATCAGAACTTGACTATCTAGAGGAATTTTCTTGGGATTTCATCAATTATTTCTCAGATAATCAATCATCATATCCAGTAGCATGTCAGCAACAACAACAAAAAAACAACAAACATTCACCTCTAGATCTGACTAAAAAGTTAAAACATGGTACTAAGGAGAGCTACTCCCCACCACACCCTGTTAATAGCAACTTACGGCTTCTTGCATTAGGTGATCCCCTGGGTCCTTGCAACTCCAGCCTGATTGCTCTGCCCTCAATTTCTCTTTTATTACAGGAATTTAAAGCTTCTTTAGCATCTTCAAATGAAGCAAACTCTATAAATGCATACCTGAGGACAAAGTCAATATTTAGAATACATTACCTAGGGCATGGCTCCTCTACAATCACACCTGATACCATCAAGCCTTTTCCCTCAAGCACATGTTTAAATGATGCTCTTTATTTTACACTGATTTTGTTTTAGCTAAAATGATTCGACTTCTGCGAACAGCCAGGAAATCATGACTTTACCTATTAAAGACACTCTTATCACCCATAACTAACATAGAAATAATTATTTTACCCTTTAGATTTGCCATTTTGGTTCTGGGGCACTTTGATAAAAGTTGCCTTCTCAAATACTTCCTGAAGAGTTTCTTCTGTTGCGCTGTAGGAGAGGTTGCTTAAAACCAGAGTTTTTGATTCACCTACAAATAAAGAGATGCCAAATTATGACTCAAACAGTGGTTCCCAACTTCAATTACAACTCTACGTTGTTCACAAGAATGCCTATGCTTAGAAGTAACACGCCAATGTTGATGCAGGTGGAATCCCACTTGTTACGCAACAAATGTACTGTAACGTCCTGCTTCCTTCCATGCCTGTTCAGATGTGTAAACTGACCACTGATCTGTCTTTACAGAACATAATTTTAAGATGCATATGATGTAAGTTATTTAAAGTATAAAACACACAAAGGAAGCTCGATTTGTCTATGTTCTAATGCAAAATGATTTCGTGTAGCTCTTACTCAAGACACTAATTACTATTACCAATAGAAATGTAACCTATCTAATCTACAACTGCAACCAAGTAATCAGTCAACTTTATATAAATGCAAAGATGCAAATGATCTGCCACCAATTCTGGAACCCTGTAGAAAACTTATAAATTCTTACCACTCCAAGTGCTATTCTTTCCACCTCTATAGTCTTGACTTTGACCTTTCTCTCCGGTATAGTACAAGGAAATAGATCGTCCATCTATCTCTGTTCCCTGCTTTTCTTCCAACGTTTTCTCTGCATCGGCTTCCGTTTTAAATTCTATATAAGCAATCCTGCAATGGGGAAATAAACGTTAAGAACTTGCTTGTTTTTTAAAACCATGTTAATTTTTAACACAAATGTTTTAATCTCAACATGACCCTTTTCACACTAACAAATAGTCTGTCATCTTCCACTTTTCAATTAAAACTTTCCTCCCACTACAAAGTTTGCCAAGTACTCCTGGAAATTTAACCCCACCTCACTGCAATTACTACTTACGTAGCCATTTACTGTAGGCACATTTTGTAGTCCTTTATACATATTAACTCATGTTTTAAAATCAATCTGAATTACGTTATCTTATCCCCACTGTATAAACAGAAAATTGAGGCACAGATATGCCCCCAAATCATGCACCTAAAAAGATGCATCAACACTTTTAAAGAAATGTATTAATTTTAATAACACTCAACATTCCAGTAGACAGGAAACATACCCTTTACTCTTTCCATCCTTGCTGACTAATCTGATCTCCATAGCATCTTCAAACACTTCTTTTAATTCATCCTGAGTAACTTTATAAGGCAGATTTTTAGCCAAAAGTGTTCTTGCATCTCGATCTAGATAAATACAGAAATGAAATGGATGAGTTAAAAGACCTTTCTCCTCACAAAGATAAAGACTGACCAATAAAAAAGCTCTGTTTAAAAAATAATTTGAGACTCTACAATGTACAAGACACTCTGCTAATACGGAGATACACAGCACTGGCAAGACTTAAGCTGCTGTCGCAAATGACATCAAACTGCTGGATACTTAGAACTCAATCTGGAGTAGGTGCTCAGTATTTTTAATTTAAAAAGTCGTGAGCACACACTTGAAACATGACGGTGTATGAATACAAAGAGTAGCCAGGGATCTGATTTAGTTTCAGTGAGGAAAGGCCTCTCTCTACATTCATGTAGGTAGCTACACGTTGTTTTATTGTGCTTCACAGATGCATTACTTTTCTTACCAACTTTTGAAATTTTTTTTTATTTTTGTTCAAATTTCTCTTTTACAGTAAAACTGCTGAGGTAATGGCCTCACTCTACCACCCCTCTTTGGAAAAAATGCTAGATATTGCATTTTTTCCAAATTGAAGTCCCTACCAGCAAAAAGGCTGTAACTCCTTTATTGTGATACTCTACTATGGTGGTCTAAAACTGAACTTGAAGTATCTCCGAGGTATGCCTATACATGTAACCAATTCTTTTTCTGATTAAGTCTATTCTTGCTTGCCTGACTTGAGAATTTTTAACACCAGCAAGCAACACCAGTCACTGTTGTAAACATTTAATGCTTTAACTCATTAATCCTTACAATAGTGAGGAAATCAAAAAAGATTTTAACTGTTGAACCTGGCCAATTAGCCTAGAAACATATTAACAAATTACCTATCAGTATCAAAATTACCTAAAACCGTACATACCTTTTTTACTGTCTTTTCCCTTTGGTTTTTCTAGTTTGATTTCATTGCCAAAGACTTTTAAACCAGTGAGTTCCAAGGCTTTTTCCAGGTCTTCAGCAGATTCAAAATCCACATAGCCAAACTTCCTTTAAGGTGACAGGCAAGAACAAAAGTAGAGGTTTGAAAATAAACAAAAGCCGCATTAACATATGTTTTAGCTAAGCAGCAACACTAACATAATGGTGGAAACCAGGATTAAGTAAAAAACCACCTGTTCTATTTAATAAGATAAAGTCAGGCTCTGTAAGCTGGGATACAACAGAGCCAAGTCTTAAATACCAAAACCTGATGGAAGCTCACCTTTGAGACTGTCTTTATTAGCTACACTGCTCATCACAACTGACAATAATATCTAACAAAAAACCTGTCCAAGCATCAAAGGACAATCCTGCGTCGTTAAAAGCATCCGCTATCATGACTGTTTGGGTCTAATAATCTTAAAGAATGAGAGTATCAAAGCTCACAGCATAAGCACTATGGCATACCACCCACTCACCTAGACACACCAATTCTGACATCCACAACAGCGAGATCGTTTTTAGCAAAAACGTCACTGATACCGGTTTTTAATTCAGGAGCAGATTTGTTGAAGTTCAGGTTTCCAACAAAGAGATTGAAAGCTGTAGTTGGTTCCGTGGCTATACAAAAAAAACGAATTCAAATTAGTCTATTTGTAAAATACGGCAGAAATTTAACTTCTAGTATAAATTTCTATGAACAGCACATCAGCACATTACAATGCAACATCGGGTTTCAGTATTAAGTCCCTTTGCTGTTCATCACTTGTGCCATGGGGTGCCCCCCTAGTCCCCAACAATTCTGCAAGTTACCTTCCACTTTCTGTTTCTTGGCTTCGGGAGCTGCTTTCTGTTTGGCCATTTCCTTCTTTCGTTTTCCAGGAGCTTCTTTGACAGGCTCTGGACAAGATTTCAAACAACCCGTGTCACCCATAAATAGTCACTCATATTCAAGTACCTCCTTTAAACAGAACGCTTATCAATATACTGTAGATTCTAATTCGATTACCTTCCTCCTCCTCCTCTTCCTCCTCCTCTTCCTCATCATCCTCCTCCTCCTCCTCCTCGTCATCTTCATCATCCTCCTCTTCATCTTCATCCTCAGCAGTGCTCTTGGCCTTCACAGGAACAGCCTTTGCAGGGGTTTTCTTGCCTTTGGCTGGTGTAATTTCCATAGGTTCTTCTTCAGAGTCTGAAAGAGAAACCACCCAGTCAAAAACTCAAGATTATCCCCAAACCCACATTAGTTCTAGGAAAATCTAAAGGGAAAGAAATGCAAAACTTGTCAATGCCACTGTACTTTGTAGTCACAGCAAGAACAGATTACTTGGAAGCAAAACCCTACATTACAAAACACACAAAATGTGCTGTGTTAAGCATCTTCTCAGGGCAGGCAATCACTCTTAGGGTACCCCTTCAGTGCACCACAAGCAGCCCAGAGCTCTGGGAGGATTTTTATCTAATCTCAGGTTATCATGAAGGAGTACAACTGCATGTTGCTGCCCACCAAGCTCACCTCTTCTCTATCTTGCAAACAAACAAGAGCCCAAGGATGACCAGGCCAAAAGAATGCCTTACCATCTTCTTCGTCATCGTCCTCATCGTCGTCGTCATCTTCATCATCATCGTCGTCCTCATCCTCGTCATCATCTGAGGCAGGAGCAGCAGCTGCTGCTTTCATCACTGCTGGCTCAAATTCATCCTCATCTTCATCCTCCTCCTCTTCATCCTCATCCTCCTCTTCACTGTCATCATCTTCCTCATCACTGTCTTCCTTCTTGGCATTTTTGCCATTCTTTGCTCCCTTGGCTGGGGTGGCTGCTCCCTTCTTACCAGGAGTTGCAACCAATGCTTTGCCTGGTGTGGCTCCCTTCTTGCCAGGTGTTGCTACTGCTTTGGCTGGCGTAACTGCTGCCTTTTTTCCAGGGGCTGGCGTAGCTGCTGCCTTTTTTCCAGGGGTAACAACTGCTTTCTTGGCCGGTGTGGCAACTGCAACCTTTTTTGTTGGAGAAACCATCACCTTCTTTGCTGGAGTTGTGGTAGCTTTCTTGCCTTTCTTCTGAGGAATGATAACCTCAAGAATTAAAATAAAAGTATGTTATCAAACTCAAAGAGGAAGCCTTGGTCCTATAAATGAATGCTAAATTCTGGCACTGCCTCTGGTTCAAGACCACATGCCTTAGACATGTTAGCATGTTAAACTGCAGGGTCATGTCCTTCTGCACACCTCCGAGGTCAGAGTCATTTTCAGATAAAATATCTAAGCATAAGGAATTCTTAACTTGAAATACCTATGAATTTCTGTACCTTGTATTTTATAATTGCTTCAGCATTAAAGCAGCACACCCTAAAATGGACTCTGAAAAAGTCCCAGTTCGAGATGGCAAACACATAGGTAAAC